CGATTGCAATGTATAGGAGATAAAACATGGCTCATAGAAAAGCGGTAGGCGCTTAGTGGTTTGTGTCCAAAGTTCCATCAATTTCAATAATTCTCTTTTGCTCATCGTCAGCTTGCTGCACTGTTTGTAGCCAATTATCATCATAGTTACCATCTATGCCAATACGAAAAACGTGCAGATCGTCATCGCCAAATAATGGTATTTCAGTATCGACAGGGTTTCTGCTTAAAGCATTTACATGCGCCATTTTAGACCCTGCGCGATACTCAAATTGTGAAATCGAACTCCTGCATGGCTATCCACCATCTCGCGACTCGGGGAACTAAATCTCTTTTCGTCATGGTACTACGGATCGTCTTACAGTATGTGACAAGTTTAATCGGAACACTGAGAAGATAGACACGATATTTGTTAAAAGCCGCAATTGCTGCGATAGTTTCCAACTCGTACGTGTGAAATTTTTGTTCTTTAGGAGAGGTTTGCCTACTGTAATAGGCAACAGGCTGCAGTCTCTCACTTTTCTGTAATAGTATCGCTCCAACCCCCACCTTACTCGCATCCGTATGGACCTCAAGTTATGCTTGAGGATCATACAGAGCGAGTGTTGGTCTATTAATGAGTCTTTTCTTGAGGCTATTTATATTTATTAAGTTGCGTAAGGGGTCGAGCTTTGATCGAAAAATTGTGGATAAATATACGAAAATAGCTGGCCAAACCTACGAATTGATGCACTTCGTGTACGTTTTTAGGGACGGGGAATCGCTTTACAGCTTCTATCTTATGAGTACCTAGTCTAATCCCATCTTTCGTTACATCGTAGCCCAAGTATTCGATGCGTTCTTGGAAAAATACACACATCTTTATGTTTAGTGTTAGTTTGGCATTTCTCTACATAACAAAAACTCTCTCTAAGTTTTCTAGCCCCTCTTGGACAGTCCTTGACGGAACCAATAAATCATCCACATACGCTAGCGCCAGTTTTTGTCCAATTCCGTTCTACATAGCGTTTATTGCTCTTTGAATTACGCTTGGAGCATTTGCTAATCCAAAGGGCATGCGGTTGTATTCGTACAAACCGTCTGGTGTAACGAACGCAGTGAGGTGTTTATATTTCTCCGCTACGATGACCTGATAATAGCCAGATGCAAGATCTATACTAGTAAAGTACTGGTTATCACCTAAACAGTCCCACTTATCTTCTATTCTGGGTAAAGGATATTTATCCTTGATTGTTTTTATATTTAGCGCACGATAATCCACGCATAAGCGCTTTTCGCCATTCTTTTTATTCACTAAGAGGACTGGGCTTGCGTAAGAAGACGAACTTACCCTTATAATTCCATTCCGAAGTAAATCATCTATGATGAGGGACAGCTGTTCTTTCTCTTTATACGACATTCTATACGGATTGTAAACCACGGGAGTATCGTCTTTAAGTCTAATAACCATTTCAGTTAAATTCGTTTTACCGAGTTCCGGCAAATTTAATGCAAAACAACCCCTGAACTTGAATAATAATTCACTAAATTTTTCATAGTCTTGTTTAGTCAAACTGGTGCCTACGTCAATTTCATCAACGGTAACGGTGATTTGTGTGTTGAGTCAACATTGGTAAATCCAATATAAGGTTCTTTTATCTCATCAAAAGCAGATCCTCGAGCCAGCGCGTGATTTTCTTTAAAAGTTAAGCGCGTCTTCCCAACGTTTGATATTATAATAAAACCTTTACCTTCTGAGAAATTATGTATACACCCGGTAAAACAATATACTGCGAACCTATTGGTCCACAAAAACGACCCGGCTCATATAAGGCACCGCAATATTCTGTCACTGTGCTCACTTTCTACTGGAGAGGTAGTAGCCGCATCAACCGTCACTTTTCCTATTGAATTTAATTTAATTTTAGCGTTCGTCTCGAAAATGTCGACAGAAGATGCACAATAAAATAATAATTCCTGTTGAGTTTTGAGCATAATTATATTCGGCAATTCGGTGAATGTTTGTCCTATTATTATGTCACAAGGCATGTAATGATCGGCCACTATTATGAGATCAATTTCCGATTCAATATCGTCTACATTTCTAACACTTTCAACAGTGCCTAATGGCTTAACACTAGAATTTCCGAAACCACATAGATGTGTGACACCATCGGTAAGCGTCCAATCTTCGAAAATTTCCTTAGCAACACTTTCCTTTAACAGAGCACAGCTGCTACCTGAATCGATAAAGGCATTTTTTTTTAATTTTAACATTTTTATAATATTTTTCACTATCACACTCATTTGATCGGATGCGCATGACGTTAGATGGTGCTGTAAGTTGCAACATTTTATTACTACCTGCTTCAGTTGCGCTGGTAATAGGAGCGCTTTTATTTCGACAATCTTGAGCTAAATACCCTCTACTACACTCTGCGACAAACACTACATCTCTTCATCGACTTAGTGCACCTAGAACGAATATGACCGGCTTCTCCATAATTGAAACAAAGTATGTCGTTTTTCAAAGCGTCGGAGTTAATGCGTACCGCGACTGGGCTTAGTTTAGTCTCCCTGTTATTTGTTGGTGAATGACTTTATCTCATTTCTACATTCATTGATATGATTATCATTTTGCACTAATGTTTTCAAATATGAAAACAGTTGCTCTGACTCCTCATAGCGGCACGCATTTACGCTCATCCTAATAAACTTGTCATCAATTCCATGCACTAAATATCCGACTGCCTTACGCCCAAATATTCCACACTTATTTATAAATATCATTTTTTCATAATAATAAACGTCCAATGGCTGCCCTATCCGACATCTTACTTGTAACATTCGATATAAAAGGTCGCCGTAATTTTCATTTGAAGGAAAAGCAGACTTCAATTTAATCATCCATTGATCCCAAGTAAAAAGTAGTGACGGCAGGCCCTGATACATCGCTTAGCAAGTCCAGATAACGTGGCCAGTGCATAATGACAAGTCTGCATTTCATTCCATGAATATATCTGACGGCACTCGTTAACCTTATCGAACGAATCAATATTTTGAGATCCGTCGTTGGGGTCATACTCCGGAATTACATTTATGTGAGTCGATAGACCTTGTGCTGGAACTGCGGTGTGAACATTAGCTGCAATACTTGATGTCGCTCCTAACTGGTTACCCACGGCAAGCGGAGCATTTCAGTTATTATGAATAACTGGCGCTGAAGGCAAAGCAGGTGTACTTGTGTTTAATCTTCTAGTGTGGCTAGAAGCATCTTTATTCAGCACAGAACCTTCTTTATCTTTACGGCTCCGCTTACACTATCTATTACTACGTCTCTTCGAGACGCTACGCGACCTTTCATGGTTCGAGTCTAACGACGAAGTCGAAGATTCACTGAAACTAGTGGAATAACGACGACGACGACATCGTCGTCGACTTGTCGATAACCGTCGCTCACGCGATCTGTGTCGTCTACTGGTCAAGTAGACGACACAGATCACGTGAGCATGGTTAGAGATTTTGAGAAAAAATGACGAACTTAGATAATTAATACAAGTATACTTAAATATTAAATTAATACTCGAGAGAAGTAAAAATAACGAATTCGGAATTAATTCTCAAAGACACTTTGTGTAACTTGAACTAAACTTTAGGCAAGGTCGTTTATCTACTGATCTACAACACAGCCATTTTCAAGAACAACAAAACAATTTTCCGCTTAAACTTGCTCCTTCACAAGGTACATACAATTCGCCATAAGGCCAACATTGAAATAAAAAAAATATAGCTAATAAAGTCATAATTTATTTTGTACTATTTTGAAGTCTAACTTAGTACTTAAATACCTAGTTATACGCGCACAACACCAAAAGAGAAAAAGAAAGTAATAATAATTCTTTAACGGAAACAAAATCTTATAAATCAATCGATGACTAATCCTTATTTAAATCACAAAAGAAGGTACGTATTGGTACCCAACTGAATAGTAATAGTTACCTATTTCTTTATTTTTTTTTATTTTAAGTTATTTGATACAGTGGAGAGATTATAAGTGTAATCTTAGCGTGGCGGCGTCCTGTTCGAATAGTCGTTCGCATTCCTTACTAGCGCGCAGCCCCAGCACGAACTGGTCCGTCAGCAGAAGCCTAGCGAACCCCTGATTCGAGCCGCCCACTGTCCGACGCTTTCTCCCACGTCACGTCTCGCCTCATATAACTTATACCTATCGGCAAACGTGCACCTCTTCGGTGAGAAATGTTTACTAAATACTTTCAACAGCTCGGCGGGCCCAACGGCAGCAACGTCCTACGGATGTACCAAGTTCTTCAAAAGTCGGTAAGCCTCATCGGACAAATGCGTTAATAATCAATCTCAATCTTATTTAGAATAAGAAATTGAATAGAATAGAATAGAATAGAATAGACATTTATTGCGACGCCACAACACATGATACAAAAAAAAATGAATTATAACACAGTACGATGAACATTAAAATTAAAAATAATAACAGTAATAATAATTAATAAACAAAATAGACATACGTAAAACAAACAAATGAAAAAAGAAAACATTAAAATTATCAAAACAAACAAGAAAGGAAAAAAAAAAAGCAAAATAACAACAAATTGTTCAGTCATTTGTGCAGTCGTGGCGTACGCAAAAGGACTACATTCAGCTTTTACCACAGCCAGAATTGACGGTGGCGCTGGTTTTCAATGAGCCCTGATCCGAGATGAGTGACGGACGTGTGTGTCGCAAAATAAAATAAACTACCTACTTAAATATTTGTCTATGTAAGTGTATTTTGTGCATTGTGTTACTGCTGTGTGTGTTATATTATATTAAATCTACATAAATATAACAAAAATATATATATAAAATATGAATATACCCTCTGTGTGTGTTTATAGTGTGGTAACGTAATTATCTAACAAATAAAATTATTCTCGATCCTCGTCCGAGTCGGATTGTGACGAAAGGTGCGCGGGGAGAAGTAAGGGGGAGGGGACGCTATTCGACAGCCAGCACAACGCAGTTCGCTCCGTTGTTTTGTTTACAGAATGAAACACGCAGTGTCCTACACCATAACGGTACGTATTATTACGATTAGAGCTATTACTAGTGTATTTCTAAAGTATTGTATATTTCTAAAGTATTTTGTAAGTATTGTATAATATCGAGCTCTTATAAATTTATATTATAAATACAAACATAAATGATGGAACATGATCATTAAATTAACAAATAATCAAAATATCAGATTAATTAGATTGGATTATATATAAAAAATATTAAAAAATAAAAATAAAATAATTAATAATCATTGAATAAATTTCAAGGAGCATGCCTCAACTGCCCTATCACGAAAACCGCAGCGATAACAATGAAGATATCGGCCGCCGTACACCAATGCTATGAGTCGAAACCAGCGCGGTAAGTGCACAAGTGAAATCACACTGTTCTTTTTTGGTTATCCAAGAGATATTTTCTATAATTGATTTTAAAAGTGTGCACTGATTTCAGACTACGAAGTGGCGGAGGCAACAGGACGTTCCATATCTTCGCTGCGGTGAACTTGAAACTGCCACGGAATGCAGCGGTATGGTGGCGTGGTACTACCATCGTCCAGTTCAACGTTCTGGTGAAGGAGGTTTTTACGTCGCGTGACCATACCAACTTTTTAGCCAGATAAGGCGGAACCTCGTATTTGATAACGCCAAACAACAAAGTTGCCAAATGTAAATCTCTCCGCGCTCTCATCTTTAAAATATTTGCTTCGTTAATATAAGGAGTTACGTGCATGCGTGGTGGTACATTAAAGCAGAACCTTGCACATGCATTCTGCACTCGTTGAATTTGCTTCTGCGTATGCGCTAGTAGACGCGGCCCGTAAACAACGTCCATATAGTTAAACTTAGATAAAACCAACGAGTCACATAATTTAACACGCGTTTGTACTGTTAGATAATTCCTAATGTTATACAATATCTTTAATCTATAAAAACAATTTCGAACCGTTCCCAGTACATGATTTTCGAAGCGAAGATGTTCGTCCATAACGAGACCAAGGTTACGAGCCTCACTTACTCGTGCAATGACCTCACCCCTAATGGCCAGAGTAACTCCGTGATCTACGATTTTTGCTATTTGGTTTCTTGTACCGAAAACCATGTATTTGGATTTATTGCCATTTAGTACTAACGCATTTGATTCAGCCCAAAGGGCTACACGTTCTAAGTCTTCGTTTAACTTATCCGCAGCTGTACGAACATCACATGGTTTACATGAAATGTAAACCTGTATATCGTCAGCATAAATATGATATCTACAGTGTTTAATATGTTGCACTACATCGGCACTGTAGATAATAAAAAGGATCGGACCCAAAATTGAGCCTTGAGGCACTCCTCGTGTGACGTCACGTGACTCCGATAGTAATTTTGATCCGCTCTGGTTTGACAGTTCTACGCACTGAAATCGATTCTTTAGATAGCTGTCAAACCATTTAACGGTAGACTCACTAAACCCGTAATAATGAAGCTTTGATAACAGTAAGTTGACATTTATGCAGTCAAAGGCTCTGGAAAAATCTAACAGTGTCAACAAGGTCCCCTGTCCACTGTCTTGAGCAGTTAAGATATCATCAACAACGTGGACCATGGCAGTTGCTGTGCTATGCTTTTTCCTAAAAGCAGATTGTGTAGTAGGAAGAATTTTATTCTTTTCTAAAAAGTTTGTCAATTGTTTCACCACGTTCTTTTCCAAAACCTTTGACATGCATGGCAGTATGTTTATTGGTCGAATATCTTGTAAGGTGGTTGGATTATTAATTTTCGGGATAGGCCGTATTACTGCATTCCGCCAGTCCGCTGGAAACGTACTCGTTTCAATGGATCTGTTTACCATAGCTGTTACAACGGATAATGTGGTGGGCAATGACAACAGCAACATGTCTGACGAAATACCATCAAGACCAACCGCCTTTGATTTCAACGAACGCATAGTTTGGAGAACCTCAATTTCTTCTACTCTCTCCAGTACGAATTTTTCAGAAACGTTACAGTTTTGTTCAAAAAATGTCATGTCTGTTAAAGCGGCTTGTGCATTACCGGGTAGATTCAAAAAATGATCATTTATTAAATTGGGTTCATTATAAATATTTACAGGAAGCTCTTGTTTACAATTTATCCTAATATTTCTTTTAATATGTTTCCATAAGACCCGGGAATCTCTCTGATTATTAATGTAATGATCGTAATAAGCTTTTTTTTCACTATGCAACACATCATTTACAGCTTTTTTGAGTTCCTTATAGTAAGTATTTTGCGAATCTTTACCGTTTTTGCGTGCTACAACATGGGCTTCATCTTTACGCTTCATCAGCTGCTTTGCATTATATGTAATCCACGGATACTGGTGATGCTTAGTATGCCACACTCGGAGTGGTGCATGTATATCAAACAACGCCACTAATCGTTCATTGAATTGCCCCACCATATGATCAACATCACCTAAATTGCTTATACTCATCCAGTCTATTGCATTAAGATCTAGTTCAAATTGTTTACTGTTAATACCTTGCAAGTTTCTGCGAATTATCTTTGTTGATGCTGGCTTCGACTTCACAACATTTAAGAGGCATGTAATAAAAGCATGGTGACTCAGCGCTTGTATGTATTCGACTCGTACCACAGTATTATCCACGTCGGTACTAATGGTATCAATAAGAGTTTCACTATACTCTGTGAAATGAGTGGGTTCGGACACACATTGTTTCAATGTATGACACGTTAGAAAATATGTAATCTTTTTGGTATCGATATGTGATTGGTGCAATAAATCAACATTAAAATCTCCTAACAGAACTACTTTGTTGCACCATGAGAAACAGCCCAGACTCTCAGCCAATGCGTCTATAAAAGTCTCTACATTTAGCCACGGGGGTCTGTACGCTGTCCCTATCAGTAGCTTCATGCCAGCAATATTCAAACACAGCCACATTTGTTCTACGAGCGGAGCCGGCGGATGAGGCAATATACGGACCGCGATGCCCTGTCGTATGTAGAAGCCGACCCCACCACCGCGCGAACGCACGGCGGCAGGGCGAGGAATATGACGTAGCCGGTAACCAGGCACCGAGGGTGCTCGACCGTCTTCGCCTTCTCTCAACCAAGTCTCGTTAATGGCCATAATATCAACATCGTGTCGTTCCATTGCAACCAGAAATTCATCATGACGTGTGCCTAATGAACCCACATTTAGTAATCCTAACTTAAGTTTACTTTTTAAATTAAATTTGAATACGAATATACACTAAAATTACAATTAAACAAATTATTTATGATTAGCACTTTGTGGACAATATCAAAGTAACAATAATATAACGCCATGATATATGGATGATGACATGTATATAAAGTTATAAATACAAGTTGGTAGCTTATCTTTAAGAATCGTACTAATCCATTTTGATAGTTAACCTGTTTGTTTACTTTATTTTTGTGAAATGCCTGTTGAGTGTTGTGTTCGTTTAAATCCTGTATATAGTAAGTGTGTGTAACAATGTGTTTTGTTTGTATATGTATCGATTTATAACCAATAATATAAATAATTGTGGTCGAGTGTAAAAATATGAGAATAATGGTATAAATGTTGAGAACCTTGTAATGCCTTGCAACTAAACCACTGCCACACATATGCCAGTACATTGAAATTTTTACTAAATTTAGTGTTATTAATTTAATTAAAAGTAACAAATAAGTCCCTAATTCTTTTAGGATTCTGCTGTCTGGGAACGAACGCCGTCGGCCCCAAAAGTTTTCAGCAGATCCGCTTCACTGCGAATTCGATGAGCCGGGGCTCCGGTATCCCTCCTCGCATAAATTCTGCCATCTTTGGTCCAAATGTACCTCCATTGTAGACGACTACCTATTTGCCTCGACCTATAGAAGAGGTGCCGGTTCAACTTTGTTAACCGCTCGTTAACATAGAAAGGCCGCGGTTCGCTCTTCTGGCCCAGACCCTCTGTAGTAACGTGACGACGCACGCGCGCAGCGCGCAGCAAGGCCTCACGTGTGTCGCGACGCGCTAGCCGTAGTGCCAGCGGCCGGGGACGCGCGCCCACCTCGCGCCTCAGAGCACCAGCGCGCGCGCAGCTTACTACATCGCGCTCCTCCAGCGGTACGCCGAGCTTGGCAGCACATGCCAACGCGAGATGCATTGGATTTTCTGCAATCTCTTCAGGCAGGCCGCTAAATTCTAGTTCGTTGGCCAGTAACTCCTGATCGCGGTCGTTTAGGTCATTCTGTAGCCTAGCTACATTCGCTTCCAGCGCCTCAACTACCTTAATTATGCCAGAATCACTTCCAGAACCACTAGCCTGCGCCTCCAAAAGTGTTTGTACCGTCTCTTCTACTTTATTCAGACGGTTCTCACAGGAGCGAACGGTCGACCGCAGCTCATACAAGTCCTGACGCAAGCCTATAAGTTCCTCCCTGGTTTGGCTCATTTCTAAACGAAATGCGCGGAGTTCGTCTACAAGATTCGCCTCTATGTTCCCGTCAGTCTTAGTCAGTAAGGATTCTTGGTTCAGAGTTTCTGGAGAGCTACAGGAAGGGGCCCGTGTCTTTAACGGAGTGTCATCCTGGTTGCTCCTGGGCAACTTGGCCTTGCAGTCCGGGCAGACCCAAGATGACGGCACCGACCTATTTTTAAGTACCCCTACGCAGTCCCTATGATATGCTCGTTTACATGTATGACAGTCGACACAGGCGCCCTCTAGCGACGACATAAATTTACAGCATGCACTGCATTTGGCTACCATATTGATCGCAAAGAAATTGCACTATGATTTAAGGTATGGGCCTCACTAATGAGTGCGACGGATTTCCGAAAGGGGTCGCTTCACTTAATTAAGTCGATGTGATGTTTATTATAGTTGCCGGTATTTATTTGAATTGTTTTTGTGTCGTACCTTATGTGTCTATTAAATTTGGTGGATTACTGATTTAAAAGCTGTTTTATTGCACTAATTCACCACACTTTAACGCACTTTATATTTTAACGTGAACACTGAAGTTTAATACTATAATCTATGTATGTTTTAGTCACTAATGACACTGTTTTCTATTTTTATTTGTTAAAAAACTGAGCAGAATTCCAAATAGCAAGTAGCGACACAGACGTCCGTGACGTCACTCTCCATCTAATCTAATATCTAATTGCTCCAAACGACTATGGAAAATTTCCCACTCCTGGGAATTATGATGAAAAACATTAAGGCTCCCTAAATAAGACATGATTTTTTTTAACACACGTGCGGGTAAATTACGAAGACGTCGCCAGTGAGAAGTTTGCAACTATAATAATAATACTTTATTTCGGATCAACAACAGTTATCCATAGTTTGTTAGTAAAGAACTTAGGAATAAGGTTAGTATGATGCTATTCAAATGCTAAAATTAAAATAAAATAAGATAATGTTAAAAAAAAATTTTAAAAAATTATACAATTAAAATTTAAAAATAAACCACGAATTGCAACATTAAATGTAAAATTATAAAATTCAAATTAATCTAACACATTTATGTAAACTTAAAACTAAACCGCCACATGAAGTTTCATCCAGTGGGCCTGGATGGCGCAGTCAATTTTATCAATCACAATTTTTAGCATGCTGTTGGGGCACCCGCGCACACGTCGCCAAAGCGAGGCAACCCGCTTCCTCAGAGTGGCATGAAAGTCATCTGTGCGTGTCTCAACGAACATGCCTGAAGCGCTACAGTGTCGTGGTAACCCCAACAACATTCTAAACGCGTTGTTATATTGTACCCTCAGCGTATTTAAGGTCACCTTATTATACTTCACCCACAGGCTACACGTGTAGAAGGTTTGACAGTATGCTTTAAAAAGCGTTAATTTTACCTCCCCACTACAACGTGCAAACCTGCGGGCGAGCATATTTGCTCTGACTGCAAGGGCTCTCCGTTCTCTCTCTATATCCACCAGATCGGACTGATCATCTGTCACCCAGTGACCTAGGTATTTAAATTTAAAAACTCTAGTAAGCTCACTGCCACAAAGGGAGACCGACGGTACAACGCCCACTTCTCCACCTCGCGGCTTAAACACCATGAGGTCACTTTTCGTTATATTATACCTGAGTCCTTGGGCAACAGCATAATTCTCACAAATCTTAAGTAGCTCGCGGAGGGCACATATTGATGGGCTCAGCAGCACCATGTCATCTGCATAGCTGATATTGTTAACTATAACGCCATCCAATGAGCAGCCAACATTAGTACTGCTGAGCTCACCAATCAATGCATTTACATACAGGTTGAAGAGCTTAGGTGACGTTAAACCCTCCTGCTTCACTCCGCATCCCAACCTGTATGGTTCCGACAGCGACCCAGCCCACTTAACATTGTTGATCCGGTTGCGATACCAAAACTCGAACAGCCAGAATCTCAAACGGGAGTTTTGTCTCACATTTCAGCTTATGCCGCAACACGTCATACGAGACCATATCGAAGGCCTTAGACAGATCAAGGAAGCACGCATACACAGGCGTACTTCTGTCCGTGTAATACCGAACAGTATGCTTGAGGCAAACACAGCGGACTCTGTAGAAAGTCCAGG